AGCTCCCATCTGTGAGCCCTAGGTGGTTCTTCCAGAATGCGGGGGAAGGGTGCCTGCCGGTCTGTACAGGAGGTCCCGCGAGTGCTCAAACCGTACCGACATTTAGCGGACACCAGTCGGGGCCACCGGCCTCAGCACAGCCACCGTGACTTCCCAGCCTTGTGAAGCCTCAATGATCTCACATGTAAAATGTAAAGGACAGTGACAAAAACATCCCAATGCTGACAGTGCAGATGGCATCTTCGATCTCTGGCCTGTGCGACTGCAGAGGGAGCCACGGAAATGCCCATCCAGAGGCTGGCCTGCGGGAACCATCTGCAGGCTCAGACGGCCTCAGGTTAACGGAGGTCCACGTGGGGACAGCAATGCACACACACTCCTCACCAAAGGAGTGACACCTGCCATCCTAAGTGTGGGTCACAGCTGCAGCTTCGGCTCCTTGGGGACTCCTCCCCGCTGGAGGGAATGCTCCCGGCCGTCCCCCCGACCCTGGCCTCCTCATCCTGGCCCCCCACCCGCCTGCCCCATACTTTTCTAGGATCAGTGCAAGCAGTGTTGGAAGTTACCATATAATTTTGCCTCCTCCACCAATTTCTGGCTCCTCTGCCTCAAGTTCTCAGTGTCTGCCAAAGCTCGCTTATACTTTTCCTAAAAGATAAAAAAAGGGCAAAGAGGAAATGCGCACAAATAAAAAAGGGAACAGATGCGTAAGAAAACAAATGCAATACGAACAAATCCCAAGTCAAAGTACAAGTAACACGTGTCATTATGTCTGGCGTTTTAGACAGCAGGCAGCGCTGCTTCCTGAGCAGAAAGAAGGTCCACCCATGTCACCACTTCCAAGGAATGACATCAAGGGGTCACGAATCTGTACAGCCCCCAGAGAGCAGCTGGATAAGGATGAGGAAGTCTCATGGTTTTACGGTCTCATCGCCCCTCTAGGACGGCCTGCTCACTCGCATAGAATTTCCCACTTCAGGGAATCCCAGAATGCTGGTTGGGGTGGACGCACCCAGAGCCCACAGCTCCGGGAGGGGTTTAGAACCACCAGCCCACTGAGTGGAGAAAATCCCATCCGTGAACCTCGTCTTTCAACTTCTGCCCAATGGCCCCATCCCAACACTGACTGGGTACCAATCAGCAAATGCTGCACCCTCTCTGTTTCTCACCAACTGTCCTGCCAGGCCGCGCATCTGCACACTTCAGCTCCAGGGCCTCTGTCCTCCACCTGTCCTCCAGTTACAGGTGATTCTAGAACAAGGCTCCCGAGGCTCAAACCTGGGTTCCACCGATCAGTAGCTAAGCAACCTGGGGAAAGTTACCCAACCTTCCCATGCCTCAGTTTCCTCATCTGTAACCGGGGCTCTAACAGGCGACCCACGGGTGTTGTGAAGATTAATGTAAATAAGGTGGTTGAAACAGATCCAGTAGAGTGTGTCTGATAGGAGCGTGTTTTCAATTCTTAAAGAACCTGATTTGTGCCACCTACGCCTTTTCACGTGGAACAATGATCTGTCCTTCCAACTAGTTCCCCGAACTCCTCCCTCCCTGGGAGTGCACCGCAGAACCCACCTCTGGCCCCAGCCCTTGCCTTCCCGTCAGACCCCGCGTAAGTGCCAGGTGCGTGTTCCTCACTTGTAAAGACTGCCTCACATCTTAACTCGGTATCGTCTATGCAGCATGTAAAGAGGATTCTCATGACGGAACTGGAGCCACAGAGGATTTGAGTTCTACTCCCTTCTTCAGCGGGAACTTGCTACAGGAGCCGACCATAGTTTTTGGAAAATGACCCACCTCCTCCGGCCAGAGGTCCTCTGGAGAACCCCACCTGAGCTCAACAGATCACACTTCCCACAAGAGCCCACATGACCTTACCACAGTCTCCTTCAGCTGCTCTTCTAGCTTGACCTTCTCGTCCAGGAGTATCTTCTCTGGGGAAGGAGTATCTGTCTTCTGTTCATTCTGACCCACGTCCTCTTCCAGGTTCTGGCCACTGTTCTTCTGTTTTGTAGCTGTGCACAGCAGCCGAGGAGATGGTCTAAGGCAAATGCATAGCACTGGGAATTAAGACTGGACTTTTGACTTAAAAGACTGATGTATCAGTTTAGAAACTTGAGATAATTTAAAACTATTTGCTACTGACCTGTGAGGGGGAATGAATTTATCTTAGATCTAACAGAGCCAGACAGTACATTATGCACAGAAGGCGCTAACTTACATACAACTTTCCGTGTGTAAGCGGGTTTGTCACTGTGCCAAGGCCGCGGAACTAACCTCTTCTTCCCGTTCCAAACAGCTCCTTCTGAGGTGTGCTCACCCACACCCATCACATATTGAGGGAGTAGCTACTAGGAGAAGTGAGGTCCCGTGCTGATGTTGAGGACAAGGACGGGCTGGGCAGAGATCCTGCCCATAGGGTACTTACTGTCAAAAAAGGCATCTACAGACAAAGTATTATGATTTTGGGTTTAAAAGTGATAAAGAAGGAATCATGCTTTAGGAGGCTCAGAGTAGAATGTTTATAACTTTGGGGAAATGAAAGGCTTTGTACGGAGGAGCTCTGAAGAATAGGTAAGAGTTACACATAAGGAGTCCACACTGGAGATAGGAAAGCAGAGGGATATATAGAGGGAAATAAGGAGCTCTAAACCCAGTACTGGACGTACTCAAAACCTGATCCAATCTGTTCCTCACATGAAAAAGGTTAAGTGATAAGCCCAAGGTCACAAAGTTATTGATGAATGGCAAAATGGTCTTAAACTCAGACTTCTTCACCTGGACCAGATTTCTCCTCTAAGCTTAAAACTCAGATTTCTTCTAAAAGTTCTTCTTCTTCCTCTTCTTTTTTTAAAGATTTTATTTATTTGACAGAGAAAGAGTGACAGTGAGAGAAGGAACAGAAGCAGGGGGGTGGGAGAGGGAGAAGGAGTCTCCCGGAAGAGTAGGGAGCTTGATGTGGGACTTGATCCCAGGACTCTGGGATCGTGACCTGAGCTGCAAGCAGACGCTTAAGGACTGAGCCACCCAGGCGCCCTGCTAAGAGTTCTTCTTAATGGCACCACATTTCAATCTGAAAATAAAGTACAACCTTCTTCCCAGAATAAAGGGAACTGCCTCAAAGAACAGGAGAGCTATCAGTACATAGACTATGTGTACAAGAATGTTTATGGCAACACAATACAGCAACAAGCTGGGGACACTGCTGAACACACTGTCACTTCCACAATCTGGAATATTCTGTGGCTGTGAAAAAGAATGTCAAACTCTCACCTCTGGGATACACTACAGATGTACTGGGAGGTACGAAATGCAATTTAGAGAAATAGACAAAACATGAAGCCTCTCTGTCAGGACAAACCAGAAATCCTGTGTATGTATACCTGTGTCTTAGGCCTGAAGAAGAATGGAAGGATCCACTAGTCTGTGGAGTGCATTAAGCCTTTTATTGTATTTTATTTCTGTGATTTAAAGAGGCTGGTAATTTAACAACTGCATATGCTGTCGTGAGGCCGGTCGTCTTTCTCAGCAGTGCTGATTCCTGGATATGACAGTCACAGCCTCTGTACCTATTCTGCTCCTCAGCCACGGAGGGAATGCAGCTGGGCAGTCAGAGCTTAGCCCCCTCTCAGAGTTCGGACTAGAACTCCACCTGACTCCCCGTTTGAGCCTCTTTCCACAATCAGCTAGTTCTCAAGGACAGAAATTATTGCTACCTTTGTGACTGCTTTCCAATTAGTTCAGATACAAAACCACAGACTACCTGAGCAACCCCGGCAATGCGGGTGCTCAAGGCTCTGTCCGCATGTGTTGCTTTCTGTAATTTCCGAGGCTGGCAATCACAGGGTGACCCCCCAACCACCGGAGGTCATCCTCGCCCCACCCGCCAGGTCTCCCGGTCCACGCGAGCAAGCGCGTCCGAAGAGAAGTCCAGCTCCGGCTCCGCCCGGCTGCTACCCAACGTTTGGCCCGAGCAGCTCCTCCGTGAAGTACACGGTTCGGAGCCGTTCCTCCGGCAAAGGCGACGCTAAGACTTGCCAAATTACCTTTCGAGCTAGGACTTCGAATGGCAGAGGCCGCTAGCTAAAAGAACAAACAGGGGGAGGGCCCGGGACGGTCCACCTAAACTGCTCCCTCCATGGCGGGGCAGCCCTCGCCGCGCTTCTGGCCTGCACTCCGAAAGGAACCGGGCCGAGGTTCGGGACCAGCCCGAACGCCCGACGGACCAAGCCTGGCGCTGCCCGAGCACGCGCACCCGCTCCCGCGCGCGACCTGGCCTTGGGCGGCCCGCCAGATCCCGGGCGCGAGCGCGCGTGGGCCGGTACGCGGGGCCGCTCAGCCCCAGCAGCGGGCCAGGCCCCGGGCGGGGGGTCCGCGTGCCGCGTCGGTGAACCGCGGGGCCCATGACGCCCCTCTCCGGGCCGGACCCCCGGCGCGGCCTCGGTCTGAGTGGAAGCCGCACTGAGGACAACGTCCTTCTTCCGCCACGGGCAGCCGAGCGCGCCTTACCTGAGAGACAGGTAAGCTGGGAGACTTTGCCTCGCCAACCTCACACACCGAGCCGCCATGACTGCCGCCGCCGCCGCCGCCACTGCGCACGCACTGGGCATGCGCCTAGACCGCTGGTCCGCCCCATCGGGGGCGTGGCCACTCGCGGGGACTCCGTGCCTCCGTCCCCGCCCAACCACTTCCCTTCAGCCAGTCAGTAACCGCTTCTCCTCTGATGGACAGACAATAGTAACCAATACTGTGGGCCTCTTCAGAGCACTCCCCACCAACCCCTCTCCCCCCGCCGGGCTCTCAGCTCTTTCCCTCCTGGTGGGCGGGGTCGGAGGCTTCCGGGGCTCGGAAGGTGAGGAGGTGAAAGGTGAAGGGAACCGTGGGAGGAGAAGCTCGTGGGCGGGGCGCGGTCCAGGAAAAACCAATGGGGACGAAGCGTGGGGAGGGCGGGGCGCCGGAAGTGCGGCTCTCGGCCCGGGAGACTCGCGTCCAGCCGACCCTTCGGCGCTTGCGCCGCATATCGCTGTGGGAGCGCGTTCGGCACGCTGCGTGTGCGCGATGGGGCGGTGCGGGCTCTCGGGACGCCGGGCGCGGTGAGAGGCAGTGTGCGGGGTCGGGTCCGCTGTGGGGACCGAGGGGGGGCTCCTGTCAGAGCCGGGGCGGGAACCCAGGGGCTGATGGGCCCTCGTGGACGCTGGAGGGTGGATGGAGACGCGGGCCGACACTGGTTCTCTGCGCTGTGCCTTCGCTTCTCCGAGTAAAACACACATTGTGGCGACGAGCTCGGCGCCTAGGGGGCTCTGGGGACACAGCTGAAGGTCATGAACCCAAGTGGCAACGGCCACTGCTGCTCGATCACCGGCCCCGAGGCACTAACCCTCGGCTGCCGTCCGTCCGGCCGGCGAGGGCCCCGGAACTCTGACCCGGCTCTTGCTCCAGCGCGCCTGGCCGCAACCCAGTGGGCGCCTTGCCGCCTGGGCTGCAGGGGCTGGAGCTGTGGCTTCCTGGAGGGGCAGGGCTGCCCGCAAGTCACGTCGGGGAGGACCAGCTTTTCTCCGCGCGCGCCGCATAAGTAGTGACGGTGTTGAACGGTAGTCTGCGACACCTGCAGGGGGAGGCCAGCCGCCAGATCCGGGATGGGGGCTGTTCTGGGGGAGAATGACCCAGTTTATTAATTAGTTAAGGGGCCGGAGGAAAAGAAAATAAGTAGGACTGTCTGACAAAGCTTAAAAGACACAATTAAATGGATGTGAGGACCTTATGTGGATCATGATGGAAAAAACCAACTGCACAAAAGACATTTGTGACACGGTGAGGGGAAATTTGGATACAAACAGAATGGTAAAGGAGGTCGTGACACTTGTTACAGAGAGAGAATGGTGTGGTGGTTAGGTCAAAATGCCCCATTTGTTGAGGGATGCAAACGGAGTATTGACACTATATTGCCATAGTGTTTGGAATTTGCCTTATACATACTCTTGTAAAAAAAAAAAAAAGATAGGAGAAAATGTTGAAAATGGTTGAGGCTGGATGGTGAATACCGTCCAAATTGTAACTCTTCTTTTGTTTATTTGAAATTTCCTTTAATAAAATGTAGCATGATAATGTCCTTGTTTCTCACCGGCCTTGGGCAAGCCACAATCCTTGATCTGCTCACCTGTAAAACTGAGATCATTTCTTTAAAAAGATTTTTTAATTTTTTGTTTGAGAGAGAAGCAGCACACAAGCAGGGGAAGAGGCGGAAGGAGAGGGAGAAACAGGCTCCCTGCTGAGCAGGGAGCCCGATGGGGAGCTCAATCCCAGGACTCTGGACCATGACCTGAGCTAAAGGGACACGCTTAACCGACTGAGCCACCCAGGCGCCCAAAAACTTGGATTATATTTATTGTGAAGTTTAAAAAGCAAATACTCATTTTCTAACATATTTGGGCTCAGAGGGAGTCCGGGCACCCCAAATAGCTTACAATGCAGCATGAAGACAGTCAGGAGAGAGTTATAGCCACCAGGTCCCGAGACAGAGACGAGCTTGTCACAATGCGAGGCCACGCTGGGGACAGTGAACCACCATTTGGTCCAGGCTTGCCAGGAAGCCATAATCCTGACCATTGTCCCACCCCTTGCAATCTCCCTGAGCAGGGATCTGCCTGTGCTGCCACCTCGTGGCCACACTGGGAACTTCCAAAAGGGAGCTGGGGTGTCCCATACGAAAGGGTCATTTTGCCACTGCTCTTGGGAACCTGCTAAGGTAGTTAGTTCCTTGAGGTCTTCATGAACTTGGTGCAAGTCCTCTCCACATGGAGAGGAAGTTGCTTGTATGAGAAGACTCCTAGATCAGCCCACTGATCACACTTCACAAAGGGCGTGGGTGGCCCTAGGCGGGGATGCAGGAAAAGCAAGCTCAACAGTGCATGGTGCCCCTGACAAGGAGGGGGTGACGTTTAAGAAGGTGTCCCTGGATGAAGGTTCTGCAGATGGCTCAAAGGCATGCGGGCCATGGGTGTGACCCTCCTAACCACTGAGTGCTGGTGGCTGCCAGGCTCTGGGTGGATGTCCTTTTGGGTAAGCACACAATAAGGTGATGAAAGGCCAGAGCCCTGCCAGGTTAGGTGACTTGTTCAAGGTCTCAAAGGCAGAAAAAGGCAGAACTTTCCCTTGTTTTCCTCAACTAATCTCAGCTTCCACCTGACGGTCAGAGGGGAAGCCAGCAGCATGTGTCCATCTCCCCAGAGTGTTGGCTGCCGCCACAAACTGCATTATTATTGTCCCTCAGCGCAGATGTGGGTTTTCCTCCTTTAATCCAACTCTGAAATAAGCCAATTAAAAAAATGGGAGGGACGTCTGGATGGCTCAGTTGGTTCAACGTTCGACTCTCGATTTCAGCTCCAGTCATGATCTCAGGATTGTGGGATCGAGTCCTGCATCGGGCTCCTCACTGAGCATGGAGTCTGCTTAAGGTTCTCTCTTTCCCTTTCCCTCTGCCCTTCCCCTGCTTTCCTTCTCTCTCTCTCTCTCTAAAAAAAAGAGGGGGCATAATGGGTGTGGTAGACAGAATTCTAAAGCTGGGCCTCAAGATACCCATCCTTTGATTATCCAATCCAACACAAATCCCAGTGCTGATCTGAAGGCACTTTGCAGATGTAATGAAAAGCCCAAGGCAGTTGGCCTTCATGGAGATTGTCCGCTGGGCTTGACCTTGATGAGTGGAGAGGTTCCTCCAGCAAGCCACCTCAGAGAGCTTCCAAGTGTGAGAACATGGCCACAGCCACTTTGGAGATGGAAGGGTTGTGGGAGAGGGACGGAAGGGTGTGGACTTCGGGAGCAGAGGGCGGCCTTTAGCTGATGGTCAGCAAGGAAATGAAGATCTCCGACTTTCTGTTGCCAGGAGCCGGACTCCACCAGCAACCTAAAGGAGCCCCCTGGATGCCCAGCCTGCTGGCACCTGCCACTGTGAGACCTGGAGGGGCACTGAGACCCCAAAGAATACCATGAGGTGGGCCTTACATTTACCGGCTTTATTGGATCATGTTTTGGATCTCAGCACATGGGATAGATTGATCTTAGCCCTTGCTCCCTTTTTCAGCACCACCGCTCATTCTTGGCCCACTTTGGACTGTTGCTTTGTTTGGTGGCCGACTCCTCCGCCAAGGGGAAACCAGGGTTCCCAGGCTGGGAGACTTGCCTGGATGAGGGACCTGTCGTCTAGCAGCAGATCTCACCACAACTCGTCTCTGGCACACTGGCTCTAAGCAGAAAGGATGTTCTTGGTAAGAAAATGCCACCAGAAGGGGCCACAGATGTTCCTGTTGAAATTACCTTCTGCAAAAAGAGTCCCATCTGTTGCACAGGGAGACACGAATACAACAGAACTCACAGCATGTCCCTGAGAACTTTGAAAGACAGCAGGCGGTTAGAACCAGCTGTTCCAGGTGCGGTCAAGGGCCCTCCGTGGGCGCAGTTTTCTCTGGGAAGACAGTGGCCTTGGCTTGCCTGAAGGATGGGGAAGGAGGGAGGAGGCGGCAAGCCCCTCGCACCCTGGGGAGAGCTTCTTATGAAGCCTGTGGACATGAGAGATAATTTGAATCTAAGGCTGATTAAATTGTTCCCCACCAGCCCCCTGCGTTTTGAGCCCTCCTGTGTGTTGGTAGAAGTCATCATCGGCCAGAAAAAAGTCAGAACCATGAAAAGCGCTGTGGGAGAGGATTGGCAGGAGGGATGGTTTCTCATTAGAAAAATAACAGAGATTATTACAGAGGCGTTGGAGGGCACGAACAGTAGGGAACCCCTGGCGCATCAGCCTTCCCCTACCTTCTGCAGCTCTCGAATCCCCGTGATGAAGCTGGGTTCTTTGTTTTTCTTGGCTCTGCGCTTGGATGGGTCCCGAGCCCAGAACCAGAACCAGAGCCAGAGGGATCTCGAGGTGATGGCTGTGATCCTGCGGGACCGCAGTGAACAGGGGTGAGGTGGGGCTCTCCCCTGAGTAATGAGGCTAGGGACACTCGTGGTATCGTGAGGAGCACATGGCTGTGCTATCCATCCCCCAGACGATGACCTGTAGCCACCAGAAGCAGTGGATGCCCCTGCTCTCATGCCTAAGCCCTCCTGGGTTCAGGGAACGAAGCAACGGTCGCCAAAGCCAAAGATGCTAATTTCCCCCTATGCAAACATCCAGGGGACGGCAGTCCACAGCTCCCAGGCTGGCTCTGTGGTCCCAGGTTATCAGGGGCCCAGACCTCTTCCCACTTGGGGCTCTGCCCTCCCCCAGTGGTGGCGCTCACCCTCTCTATGAAGATGGAGCTCCGGCCATCACAGCAGCATCCCCAACATTCAACCCATAGAGCTGGGGGAAGGGAAAAGTCACAGTGTAGCAATCCTCAGGGAAGTTCTGTGCAGGGGGGCTGTGAACTGGGAAGCAGGGTCACTGTTGGCCTCCACCTACATTCACCGATTGGACTGCTTTTTCCTTGGATGTGAAAACTTGGAAAACACCTCTCCAAAGGGAGTTTCCAAAATGAAAGATGTTCCTTCCAGAAACAAAGCCAGTGATCTGAGGCCATAGGAAAGCAGACTGAAGCTTGGCCACTGCCAGGGACCCTGGGGAGGTGCCCAGCCACACCCCTGCCAGGTGAATCCCCTCCTGCCGCAGCTCCGTCTGCCCACACCCTGAGCCGCAAAACAGCATCCAAAGAGCCCCACTTGGTGCTACAGATGGCTGGTGCTGGGCTTTGTTTCTGGAATAAGCAGCATCTGAGTAGGAAGCAAATGCACTTCGGTCTGGAATCTGCTCCAAAATTGGGTTTCAAAACATGCATAATGTTTTCAAGAGGTTTTTCGGGATGACTCCTGTTGCTGGTGCTGCTGGTGATGGGGGAAGGGGATCTGCTTTGCTTGTCCTCTCTCAGGACCTTGTCTGGAGTCCCTGCCCACCTCGTTCCAGGGGACTGACCAGCAGAGACACAGGAAGAGGGGCTGGAGACACAGATCCCCATCCCAGAGCCTAAATCCTCCCCCGGAAGCCTTTTCTTCACTCCTGAGGCACGCCAGCACCCATCCCTGCGTGAGGAACCAAGTTAGGAGTGGCTCTGTTTGCTCACGTTGCTTTGCTTTGGTCTTCTGTCACTTACCGTTAAGGTGGTCACCGCAGTGTCCCTTCCTAATCACGTCAGGGACAGATGTCGCCATAACCCCAGTGGACAGAGAAGGTGGCTGCTCGGTGTCCAGGGTCCAGGTCCTACCCTCTCATGCTCTGGACCTCACGCTCTTTCCAGCACCCACTGTTCCAACCTCCAGGAAGTCCCTCGTGGCCCCTGCACTGTGGCTGTTTTGCCACTACCTCGATGATGAACGAGGGGCCCAGGCTTAAGTCAGAGCCGTGTCTATGTGTCTGCATGTCTGTGTGTGTTCCGGCTCTGGGAGCCTCAATCCCCGTGTTATTTCATTTTCAGATACAATGGACATCTGACCCCCACTGTGACTCCCACTGTCCCTGTCACCCCAGGGTCCTTTCCCCAATGTGCTCATGCTGGGCTTTTATTCCAGTGGAGTGTAGCGGGCACTCAGGCAGTGTGAGCGAGTCCTAATGTCCGTCTGACCATGAGACCGTGGGCTTCCCGGATGCAAAACCTCCAGCCCACCCCCAACCATGAGCGCATCACTTGGGAGCATCGGGGGCTCCTGGTGGCTCGGAGGCAGAGTGGGCTAAGCCCAGGACGGAGGCTGGACACCAGGCCTCGGCCTTGCCCTTCCTCCCCTCCCCTCCCCCCGGAGAACTATTGAGCTTCCCTGAGTTTTCCTCCAGAAATCCGTGGTGGGAAGTTTTGGTTTCTACCAACTTATTAGACCATCAGGTAAGATGCAAGTGCGTCATCCTAAAGACTTCTGAAAGTCAGCGTTTCTGGGTAAGAAACGGTACCTGGGGGTCTTTCCCCGAAGGCATCGAGAGCAGGAACCCGGAGATGTCTGTACACTCATGTCCGTGACAGCACTGTCCCCAGGAGCCGAGAGGTCGGAAGTGGTCCTCAGGCCCTCAGATGGAGGGACGGACACACGGTGTGGCCCATCTGTGCGACACGATGTCATTCAACCTTAACAAGGAAGAAGATTCCGACACCTGCTGCAACGCGGATGAGACTTGAAAGCCTTGTTCTCTGTGAAATAAGCCAGACAACAAAAGGTTTGGATTGGGAGACAGGGTCTCTACAGGGTAATTAAGGTAAAATGAGGTCATCAGGGTGGGCCTGGGCTGCCATCCAGGTGTCCTTACAGAGAGGGGCCATTTGGACACACAGGTGCACGGGGAGATGCAGAGATCTGTAGCCCGTCTCTGAGCCAGAGAGAGCGGAGGATGCTGGTAAACCCCGGAGGCTGGGGGAGAGGCAGGGGACGGATTCTCCACCAGGGCCCCAGAAGGAGCCAACCCTGCCGAGACCTTGACCTTGGGCTGCCAGCCTCCAGAACTATGAGACTGTAAATTCCTATTGTGTAAGCAAGCCAGTCCGTGGTGCCCTGTTACATCCCTAGGAAACTCAGATGGTGGCTGGCTTACGACAACAGACGTGTTTTTTTGTTGCTACGTCTGTGTTCAAAATTCTCTCTTTGAAGGGCACCTGCTCGTATCAGAGTAGAGCCCGCTTGACTCCATTATGGCCTCAGCTTCACTAATTACATCTGCAAAGACTTCATTCCCACAAAGGTTCCATTGACGGGCCCTGGGGTTTAGGACATCAACATGCCTTTCGACGGGATACCCCTTAACCCCTGACAGTCTGCCCTCTGGTCCCCCAAATTCATGTCTTCCTCAGAGGCAAAGTATATTCACGTTATCCTGAGAGCCCCCCAAAGTCTTAACCATTCCAGCATTGAAATACCATCAGGTCAGACTCAGATCTTGACTCCTCTCTGTGTCTGAGGCCTGCGCGGGGGACACACTCAGGGAACTCGGGGAACATTGGACAGGATCCCTGAGGCTGGAGGGAAGCCCAAGACAGAAACTCGTGATCAGAATAAAAGGTACTACTGGCCTTCCATCAAGATGCTCGTAACACTGTTTTGTGATTATTTACCTGAAGTGACCTGAAAAACCTCACAAGATTGCATTTTTGTAAAACAAAGGGAAACTGTTTTTACTGACTTTTTTGTTTCTTCTGGCAGAGACTTCTTGTCTGTCCCCGAGGACAAACAGGTCTTTTGTCTTCTCAGAGCTCAGGACCTGTCTCTTCCGGCTGGGCCTCCTCCTCTTCTCTCTCCCAACGGCTAGGCTCCATGGGGTCCTTCCCATTGCTCGCCCCCGCCCCCCGTGGAAGGGACCCCAAATCTCTTCTCCTTTATCATGTGCTGTGCATGCCAAGGCGAGGTCTGGCCACTTCTTTAGGGGAACAACTAAGGAAACGGGCCATTCAAATGCAGGCCGCCATCCCAGATGGTGAGAAGGGAGGGAACAGAAAGAGAAGGTTCTGGGAGGAAGAGCACACGGTGCATGCAAGGCAGTTGTTGGGGAAGCCAGCGAGAAGACGGGCTTGGAGGGGTGGATGTCTGTTTCTGCCTCTACGAGATGTGCTCTCTGAAGGGGTAGTGGTTTCCGTGGAAGGGGGCAGCGCCCCTAGTCTCCAGGGCAACACTCTCCTGACTCTCTGGGCCTCAGTTTTCTCATCTGTGAAATGGGATGAGGAGAACGCATGAAGACATCACACAGTTGCTGTGGTTCATTCGTCATGTGCTGAGCCATTCCAGGGCCCAGGTGGGTATCAGACGCAGGGAGGCCGCCATAGGAGGAAAGCAAGGCTCTCAGTCTGTGGTGAATAGCCATAGTTATCAGTCCACATTGTGCCTTTCAAGTCAAGCTTGCATCATGAACCAGGGCCTGTGGGTAGAAGGGAGGGATTTGGGACCCACATAAAGAATGTGATCACCATAGGTAGTGAGCTTGCTGTCAGCAGAGGAAATCAAGCAGATGCTTGCTGCCCTGGCAATTACAACCAAGGTGATGCGGCTCGTGATGAGGATGTGGAGGGGTCAGGTGACAAAGGGGTCACCTGGATTGGACTCTAATTCTACCCCAAAGTAGTGGGATCTGGAGAGCCACGTGGGCAGACCTCCGGAGTCATCAGGAGGCAAGTAGGTTTTGCAAGGGGGGGGCAGGTGACAGTGGCCTGCAGGGCCCCCTGGAGGGAGAAGAGGCTGCCTTTAGGCTGGGGGAAGGCAGTCCTGGTAGCCTGGTGATGCCTGTTGCCATGGTGGGAGGGAGTGACCGCCCCAGAGACAGTGTTCCCAAAGGGAAGGGCTAAACTGTGTGTTCCACTGGATGGTGGGGTCCTTGAAGGCAGGGATGGGGTCTTCTGTGTTCATTTCTGTTTCCCTAACAGGAGAGGGCTGGGCTCACGTGAGGTCTTGGGCATGGTTCTCTGTGATAGAATCATAGCTAGAACCTTGTGACGGCCAGTTTTCTGGTTCAGCGTGGCTGGGCTCAGGGATGCTGCAGAGGTGGTGGAACATTCTGGGTGCTTCTGCGAGGGCATCTCTGGAAGAGATGAGCGTTGCCAGCAGGTGTGCGCTCCCCCATGTGGGGGGTTCCACCCTGTCCACTGGGGGCTGGAAGAGGACACACCGGTGTGGACGCACTCTGTGCTTGAGCTGAGACCTCCAACCCATGCCCCCGCAGCGCGCACGAATCCCCAGGTTGTGCAAATCCTCAGGGACAGCTGCAGGTGGAAAGAACTGTGGTGGGGGGATCGGGACCTGCGTTCCCAGCTGGCCCTGTCCCTGACTCACTGTGTGATGAGCACAGCGTCTGTTTCTCTCTGACCCTGTTTCCTGTGCTCTAAAACATGGCCCTGGCTTACATGCTGGCTGGAGCCCATTGTCGCTCTTGACAACACACAAGCCCCCGGCATGGTAGAGCAGACCCTAACCCTGGGAGGCTCTCACCTCAGTCCTCCACCCAGCCTGCCTGCTCCTCCAGGACTTAGCAGCTGATGTCACCCCCTCCTGATGTGTCCTTCTCTGGGGGAGGGGCCTCTGGCCCACTCTGGCCAGCCTCCCTCCTGCTCAGGGGAAGAGAGCTCATGGGCGAGGTCTGCTATTAGGGACCCCACATTCTTCTCTGGGCCCTGTGGCCAAGGCCTGCCCATGCTGGGGGGGCTCAGGGTTCAGTGTCTGGAGATCTATTGGCCAACAGATAGAAACCACGTTTTCCGGGACGCCTGGGTGGCTCAGTGGGTTAGGCCGCTGCCTTCGGCTCGGGTCGTGATCCCGGCGTCCTGGGATCGAGTCCCGCGTCGGGCTCCTTGTTCTGTGGGGAGCCTGCTTCTCCCTCTGCCTCTGCCTGCCACTCTGTCTGCCTGTGTTCGTTCTCTCCCTCTCTCTCTCTGACAAATAAATAAATAAAATCTTTAAAAAAAAAAAAAAAAAACACGTTTTCCAAAATCAACTTCCCCAGCCATAAAGGGAATATTCTGGTTTCTCATTGGGGTTTTCCTGGCTTCTCTCCTTGTTCAGAACGGAGAGGAGCCATTGGCTGGCAGGGCCCTTGCAGACAGTCTGATTGCGCAGTTCCTCCTTGCTGCCTCCAGGCGGCTCTCTGCTGCTGCCCGGATCAATGCATGTGCCAGGAAGGCTGGCCCCAGGGACCCCTGCCCTCAGTCCCCCAGCCCCCATAAGCACACTGAACATCTTGCATACCCTCTGTTGTCTAGAGTCTCAGCCTAGAACATTCCTTCTTTTTCTCCTGAACTCCCTGCCCCCAAGTCCTTTTGCCTGGCTAATAACTATCTTTTGACTCATGCTCTAACCTAGCTGTCACCTCCTCCAGGAAGCTTTCCTGGATCGCCCCAAGCTACTTTATCCTTCCTCTATCAGGGCCCTGGCCACACTGGGAGGTCTTTGCTCTTGTCTGGGCTGAGGATGAGGGCTGGGCTTGTCTCCTCTCGGGGCTGTTGAGCAGGACAGAGTGACCAGAGACAGCAGCTACACTGGGAAGTCCGAAGGCACTGTTTCCCCCTCCATCCTTCCCCCATCACTGTTCCCTCCTGGTCCCTTCCTTCACTTTTCGGATTCCCCCATGCACTGGGATAGAGATAGCACTGCAAGGAGGCCTCCTTCTGGGCCCCTGACACCCCCTCCTGAAGGCTGGGCTTCTCTGTGGGCCGCCCCCGCCTCCAGTTCCCTGTGTCCGCCTTGATTTACCGGACATGTCGGGCTGCTTGCCAGGTGTCTGGCCCCGTCTGGAAGTAAGGGTCTACTTCCAGGTGATAAACGGGGCTCACTGGGCCTGGGCCCCCAGCGAGTGCTCCCGGGCACTGCTGTTTTCCCCGACTCTGCTGAGTTCAACCAAGAGAGATGATTTAAATAAGTTGTCCCCGATTTTTCTTTGTTCATTCCTGGAAATATCTTGAACACACTATTTGTGTTTTGAAAAAAATCAATGCAACAAATGGCATTCAGTATGCTCCGTCGCCGGGAAGGCCGGGATCCTTTCTGTCCCTGCGTTTCTAATCTTGCGGATAGGGAAGGCATCTGAGGCAGATAGGTCCCCGCAGGAGAATGCTGGAGGCGTTTGGAATTTGTCCTCACAAAACTGGGAGGAGCAGGGGCTCCAATCTCTTTGCGCGACCAGGGGAAATATCTGTGTCCCTTGCAAAACTCTTAACTGTGGAAACTCGTGTGATGAGCTTTGCATGCTGCTTGGGGCCCCGAGCCAAGGGCTCCACCTGGAAGGCCTGGGGCCTCCGGCCATGCTCCCAGTGCCAGCCTGGCTTCCAGCTGCTCACACCTGCGTCTCTTTGCCCGGCCAGCTATCTACGTGTGCAGTGGCTGCGAATGGGAATCAGGCCATCCCCAGGCCCGCCCTGACCCAGCAGCCGTGTGACCTGCCAGCTCCATGCCCGGCGCTGCTGTGGGCCCTGGCGCTGGAAGTCAGCCTGCTTTGGCCTTCAATGTCTGACCATGCATGGGTGAGACCATTGGAACAGCGGTTTGTAAGGGAGAGATCTTCTCCCGAAGACCTCCTCTTCAGAGTCCATCCATCACGGGTAGGGCCTGCCCCCTTTGTGGGCTCGTTCCCCAGCTGGCCCCATCTACACAACTATCTTTTCTCCACTTTATCCCTCCCCACCCCTCCCTGCCCCTGGTGTCCTGACCTCCAGCCCCCTCAGACTGGCCTCCAGGGCCTTCACAGTTTATGGCGCTCTGGGTTTGCTGTCCGAGGGAAACACTCATTCCTTTTGCTTGGGTGCCTTACTCATCCTTTAAGATGTGGTTCTGGCACTTCCCCCTCCACAAAGCCCTCCTGGGCACCCCCTCTATGGGTCACGTGCCTCTTGGGCCTCCCCAGACCACAGTACTTCTCTGGCCCAGCCCCACCAACCTTCATCAGTGTTGTCTTGTTGCATTTCTATTTCTACTGGCCTGAGCTGCAGCTGCTCCTGCTGCTTTTTTTTTTTTTTAAGATTTTATTTATTTATTTGACAGAGAGAGACACATCGAGAAAGCAGGGGGAGTGGGAGAGGGAGAAGCAGGCTTCCTGCCAAGCAGGGAACCCGATGCAGGACCCTGGGATCGTGACCTGAGCCAAAGGCAGACGCTTAATGACTGAGCCACCAGGCGCCCCCGGCCTGAGCTCCTTGAGGATGGCTCTCAGCACAGAGGAGATGCCTAGTGAAGTAAGTTTTTATGGAGAGAACAGATGGTGCATAGCTGGATGGATGGATGGACGGGTGAATGGATGGACAGTGAACGGATAAATGATGGCTGAGTGGTTGGTGGATGGAAGGATGGATGGATGAATGAATGGACAGAGGGATGCATGAATGGATGCTTGGCTGTATGGTTGAATGGATGGAAGGATGCTTGAAACCACATTTCTGAGCGAATATGCTATCTTTAGTCTCAAGTTTGCATGCTATCTATCTGAGCCATCCCATACTTCCCCTATTTCAGCCCCCCTCTTCCTTCGAACACCCAAGTCGGGGTTTCCCCGGGGGCTTTCCTGGACAGGGCAAGTCCTCTTCGCTGGCTGTCCCAGGAGGCCCTGTTCTGCCGGCCTGGAGTTAGCAGGGTGGGCAGACAGGGGTGCTGGTGGACTCCTGTACTGTTAGCCCCCGTGTTTGGTGACCCACTGAGTCTGGGGGTGCAGTAGAGACAGTGAGAAGGCTGGCTCAACCCATTTTATTTTAAACATGCTGTTTCTTTCTAATGGCAGCCCTGGGGTCTTGGGACAGGCATATGAGTGGAATGGTCATCACGTTGGAGCGGTAGAGGGAGATGATGGAAACAGGAGGGAGGCCGGGAAGGAGGAAAGAAGGAAGCACCATGACATGGACACAGGGAGGACCTCTCAGTCCCTGGGGAGACCAGACAGCACATGCACAATGGACATTCAGCTGGGAAAGTCCTTGGCATCATCCATCCCCTGGCCACGTGTACGGAGAAAGAGCTTAGAGAAGTGTGGCCTGGAAACCTGCCCAGCTGCCTGGGGGCCAGGAGGTCGGATTGTCCAGACCCAGCTTTCAAGTGGTTACAGAGAACATCTCTGCCATGCTCCCTTCCCCTGGCCCCCAGGCTCATCCTTGACCCATGGCTGTAAGGGATGAATCAGATCTAGGTCTTCAGAACACCTCCCTCCCTCTCTCTCTTCTCCCTCTCTTTAAAGCTATGGGAGATACTCAAAAAGCACCTTGAGAATTTCCAGGGCTTGCAAGGGGCTGCCAAGAAAACTACAGACTCTGGGAAACAAATAGATGGCAATGATCCTTCAGCTCAACTGAGGATGGTCTGAGGACAGAATCAGCCTCTGCCTCCTCCCTGACTCCCCACCAAAGATAGAACCTGGCCCCAGGAAGGTCCCAAGGGGGTTGGGCACCAAGGCTTTCCTCAGTGGGGTGCTCGTAGGCTGAGCCGGGCCGGCTTTCCCTGGCCCCAGGTGCCTGGGAAAGGCCATATTGCTCCATGGGGAGGGACCACGAACACCAGAGGAAAGTGTCATCCTTCCCAGCCTCCGGGCCTCTGGGTCTGGTTGCAGGTGGACTGAGGGGTGGCCAGGAGGTGGACAGAGGCCCACAGAATGTCCCAGAGCCAGATCACAGTGTGGACAGGAGCATGAGCTATGACCACATCCCCAGTTGGTCCTTTAAGGCTGGGCGGGGACACCTTCCCCCTTCCCTCCTCCCTGCATCACAGAGTGAATGGTGCGCTGGGATAGTTCTGGGAGCCCCTCCTCGTCTGCCACTTAGCTCCCGGAGCCTTATGTCCTCTTCTCCACATGGGATTATGTTCCCAGTTTAGCGAAATGATGTTATTGCGACCAAGGGCTGCCCAACCCCAGGGGCCTGAAGCAAAGGTTGATTCCTGTTCATATCCCATGCCCCTCATGGGCCAGCTGACAGCTATGTGTGAAGTCTTTCTCATCCTGTGTCTCAGCTCGGGTTCCCCAAAAGTTGGCCTTGAGATAAAGCTTTGACCTTGGTTGTCACCTGCCTAAGCCCTTCCAGGCCTCTCCCCTGCCCTACTCCCTCAATGCCAGGTGCATGGGAGGGCCTTGGGCTCTGCCCCAGGAACCCTTCCCCGCCCCCTTCCTGCCAGATGGGATCCAGCCCCTCTGTGCGGGGCTCTGGCCAGCCTTGCTTGCCCATGAGAGGTGGTGCAGTAGCACGGGGCTGAGACGGGGGGCTTCGGAGCTCGGCTGCTGGCACCCGGACCCCAGCTCTGCAGGAGGTCGAGCTGAGACTTGTCTGCTCCCCTGGTGTGGCCAGAGCCCAGGGAGCCTGTGAGAAGGAGGAGGGACTGTGTTGTTCACATTGGGGCATCCCTGCAGGACTGTCGCTGGAGGATGGGATCCCCCACCCCCACCCCTGCGACTGCACTGGGCTCACTTCATTCTCCTGCCACCACCACAAACCAGTACTTTTTTTTTTTTTTAAAGATTTTATTTATTTATTTATTTGACAGAGAATGCAAGTAGGCAGAGAGGCAGGCAGAGAGAGAGAGAAGCAGGCTCTGCACTGAGCAGAGAGCCCGATGTGGGGCTTGATCCCAGGACCCTGGGATCATGACCTGAGCCGAAGGCAGAGGCTTTAACCCACTGAGCCACCCAGGCGCCCCGCAAACCAGTACTTTTGAGGACAAATTGCTTTTGCCTCAAAGGACTAGCAGTTAGTGGTGGATGTACAAAGCCCCTGCTGGGGTGCCCTGCCCAGTCTCTCCTGGGTCAATACCATGCTGACCATCACCCCCCCCCATCTCGCCCTCTCCCCGGGCTTTGTCCCACCTTCCCCACCCCTCTTTACTTTCCATATTTATTTAAGCACTGGTTTTGGTGTTTGGGGTCAGGGGTCCAGGGGTGGAGGAGACACAGCCCTGCCCCTAGACTGTGGTCTTCCAGGACAGTGAGTCACAGAGAAGTCATCCCCACTGGCTTCTGACGCAGACACCACGTGGTGTGATGGTGCCAGTGAGAGTGGACCGTGGAGGCTGGGAAGGGGAGAGGAGGGAGGGGGCGGGGAGAGGCCTGGCTCAGGGAATTAGGAAGGACAGGTGCTCAGCGGGGTCCAGGCTCTGCTGAACGTGGGTTGCAGACCCTGGGTTGTGCCAGATTCATACCGTACTGGTTGGATGGTAACCTAGGTCTCATCAGCACCCCCTTTCTCATCTCCTGTGTGCCTCCGGGGGTCATTCTAAAGGTCAAAGAAACCAGTGGGCAGGTAAGGTCTCTCTAAATACAAAGGCCTGTACCCATTTTTGATTTTTAGAATCCTACCTTCCCATGTAAATGAAATATCATTGTTTAAACGTGTTTTTCGGTGGCAGAACTAAAACCCACGACTGAAAATAAGTTGAATCACACGCTGATGAAATGTGGAATGTGGAACGTGAAGGGTCTCCCTTGATTTCCAAGTTCACCGCTGTGAACATTGCATATGCTGTCAATGCAGAAACACCTAGAAGGTAAGAAAGCTCCAGCCAGAGGGGCTGGGCTTGGCTGTGCCCTGCTGCCACTCGCTGGCCCAGTGTCCCTGGCGGGTCCCAGAGCTTGGTTTTGCCAAGTTCACAAGTTGGGAGGAGAATTGTCTCTACCTCCCTGTGTTTGTTTGGGGATTAATGGTCTTCACGAGGCCCTGCCTGGCTGCAGCCACTGTCCAAAGCCAGGGCAAGCATTTAGCGGAGCAGGCTTGAGAGGGGACTAGGGCGTTGCAAACGCCAAAAAAATATCATGACTCCTGTCACGATTCCACGATTCCACTCCTGTCCACAATTTTCACGGCTGGTGGACAAGCTGTGTTGTTGGGCTTCCTTGTTTGGTTTGTGGAAGCCCTTTGACGCATCCCATTCAGCAGAATTCAAGTCACACTTCCCAGGTTTTAAAAAACATTGTAAAATCCACATCACCTAAAACCATCTGAGCCAGGGCCGAGCGGCCCATCCAGGGGCACAGAGGGCGTTCAGAGCCAAGTGTCGTGCAGCTGTGCCCACCCTCGAGCTTTCCAAACTGATACCCCGTTCCTAGGGAGTACAGGCTCCCCCTGCCCTCTCCATGGTCCTGGCAGCCACCCCCCTTCCCGCTCTGCCAGCTCCAGAACTCAGAACTGGTCCTTCTGACAGGCTGATGTCACTGGGCTCAGCAATTCATCCGTGGGGTGGCGTGGGGAAGGGTCGCCTTCCTTTACGACTGCGTGATACTCTGTTATCTGGTGGGACATGGTTGCATTTGCCAGTCCGTCCGCATCGATGGGCCCCGGGGCTTCTCCCACCCTTGGCTCTCAGAGCTCTCCTTGGCCCTCTTCTCTTCCCATTTCTTGGGTCTGGCTTTCCTCCCGGCCTTGGCTTCCCTCTGTGGTCCTTCCAGGCAGCTCAGGAAGCTGAATGCCTGAGATCCAGGCTTCTGTGTCCTCAGAACTCAGGTCCCAGGGCAAGAGAGAGCCCCCTCCCCCCCTGGGTCCAGGCAGCCCATCCGTAGAGTCCTTCCAGGTCCAGTGCTGGGCCAGGAGATGGGCTGGGTCCGCATTCAGGTGGCCCAGAGGTCCTGGGAGCAGGTGGGCAGGAGAGGCTTGGATGTCTTCATGGGGCACAGAGGGCTTTGATGGCAGAGCCCCGACAAAATGGAAACCAAGTACAAAACACAGACCCCTGCTGTGTGCCGCAGAGGCCCACGGGCTCTTCATCTGGGGGCACTGAAGCCACTCTGAGGAGACGGGCCGCGGTAGAGGGAGCCACCTTTCAGAGAGCCTCGCAGAAGCTGATCATCCAGAGGGATTTCTGTATGAAAACCTTTCATGTCTTTGGTACAATATTTTAACTTTGGTTTTTCGGTGTGCAGATATGGAATTCTGCCAGCTTTTCTCCAAGCAGAAGGGGCCTCCCACTTCCTTTAGGGACCGTCCCAGCGGGCTGGGCTGGCCTTTCTCCTGGGCAGCTTGCGGCCTGGGGCCCGACTGGCATCCGCCCCCCAGCCAGGCCTGGAGCTGGATCTGTGCCCAGGCGGCTGGCCCGCCTCTGACGTGGGGGTCCTGGTGCTCAGCTCCCTGGGTGAGGTTTTAAATCGGACGCCGATGAGAATGCTTTCTAACTGGAAGGCAGTGGGACTGTGGGGGCGGCCCATTATCCTTCTCTTTTCCCTCTTCCAGCAGGGGTTCCCCCCGCCCCTCCAGGGGCTCTGGCTCTGGCAAACCCCCAGTTGCTGGAGCGAGGAGAGGACTTGGGGGGGGTGACAGGGGTGTTGGGAGCGTGCATAGAGGGAGGTCTCATCTGGGTACCGGGTTAGGTTTGTTATGGTTTAGAGGAGGAGTGAGGCAGAACCCGGGGCTGGTGGTGCCTTGCCTGAGCCACCTGGGGGAAGGGGTGGGAAGCAGGTGGAGGGGAGGGTGCAGATGCCCCTTTCTGAGCTTCCCGGGCCAAGTTTGGATGCCTGTGAGGAGCCAAAGGTACCATCGGATCTCTGAGCTCCTCTGTTTTATTTCTGGGGCTTTCAGATTTTCCTAGTCATTGCCCTGCTCCTTTTGTGGGGGGGGGGTGCTCAGGAACCTCCCCCATCTTCTTCATGCCCCAAATAGGTTTTAAGGTCCCAGTAGGTAGCAGGCACTGTCATAGGTGCTGGGGATCCATCCGTGTGACGCCCATCATGTGGTGCGCATGGTCCAGTGGGGAGAAGGGACAGCCAACAGCACGGGAAGTGAGTGAGCGCATCCCACCCATTGTCTGGGAGAAGACTGGGCAGAAGGGAACATGGAGGAAGGTGAAGGCTGGGCTAACGGGAGGACCTGGGACAAGCCCCCCTCCTTCCCCTGCCGGGGTAGGGCTGTGAGAAGGAGCTAGAAAGCCTGGGGTGGGGCGGGGGGCCACCACCGGGGTGGGGGTGGGGGGAAGCTCAGTCCAGGAAGGGGATAGGTGGTGGGCTAAATGAGGCTGGGGGGAGGGGCTGGGTGACCAGAACACACAGCCCTTCCCAGGACCTCTGCGATCCCCCTCCAGGTGACACAGGGACCATGACATCTTTAAGACAATGAACAACTTTGCTGAGATGTAATTCTCATGCCCAATAACCCGCCCACTTTATAGGCAATTAAATGCTTTTCAGCACATTCAGAGCCACGACCATGACCTTGGGCCATTCTCGAACAGTTTCATCTTGTCAGGAAGTAACCTGGTACTTTGAGCTGTCGCCCGTGTCTCTCCCATTCCCTGGCTGCGGCCCTAAGCAGCCACGAGCCTCCTTTCTGTCCCTCTGGATAGCCGTTCCGGATGTTTCCCATGGACGGAATCACACAGCGTGGTCTTTTGTGGCTTCCTTCCACTGAGGGTCGTGTTCTCGGGGCTCGTCCGGCTGAGGTGTGGGTCGGGTCTCTGTCCCTTCCCAGGGCTGCGGCAGTGTTCTAACGGGAGGACGGACGCGTCAGCGGTTCTTGTTAAAGCTTGTACTTTCATCACGTTGGTGAAGGAGAAAGGGAGTATCAGCCCTAAATTTGAAAGTGGAAGCCAGCGGCTGGCCAGGTGCGGAGAGCTCCGGCACCTGTCACCCGGCACGCAGAGCTCCCCGGGTAACTTGGAAAATAGTTTTGGGAGAGAGCTGAACATCAGCTTTCCCTAATGTTAATATTGAGTCTCATTTTTCAAAATAATTATTTTAGAAATTAAATAAGTAACTGATGGACACAGCACAAAATTCGGAAGGCACAAAGGGTGTGTCCCGAGAGGCAGGCCTCCCTTCTAGCGTGCCTGGCCATGGGGCTCCTGGGCTCTTCTCAGGTCACCCAGTATGGCCAGTCCCAGCTCTTCCGCTGACCCCGCACTCTTGCCCTTGCCTGGGAATAGGATTACCAGGTAAGACACCTAATTACGTCTGAATTCCAGACAGTGAATACTTTTTAGTATAAGTATATCTCAAATAACATATGGGATATACTTACAGTAAAAAAATTAATTTGTTGTTTAATCTGAAATCCCCATTTCACTGGGTGTCCTCTATCTTTGTTTGCTAAAATTGGCAAGCCTGCCAGGGATGAAAAAAGAATAAAATGGCTTTGAGAAATTGAGAGTAAAATTTGGCTTTTGAGAGTAAAACAAGTGACTCACATGCAAAGCTGCTTCTGGGCGGCAGCTGCGTCCCTGAGGATTTTGTTTGGGTTGTTTTATTCACATCTAGCAAATTGTTTCTAAGCGGCCCATCTTATTTTCCGTTTGTTCATTCCTTCTTTCAACCCTAGAAACCTGCTGTGTGTTGGCCATGGGAAAGGTGAGCCAGAGAGCCAGATGCTGAGAGTGCCCCCTCCCGGATGCCCTTGCTACTTCTGCCAAAGCATCAGTCCCTGAGAGCCAGCCCCGTGTGCCAGGCACTGCCGTAGTACCACGGCCCAGGGCCAGGTCTAGGACCCAGGAAGTTGTCAGTCGGTATCTGTGAGCCTGAAAATGTGCACCAGGTGTTAACTGGGTCATGTGACCCTCAGCATGGTGATGGGGGGGGAATGCCGCAACATGCAGAGCACCCCTTTCTTGGGGAAGTTTATAGGACACCCTTGCAGGGCGATGTGTTTCTGACGGCTTGCCTCTCAGTGAGATGACAACAGCTCGGGTTCCCTTGCCATTTTATCCCTGAACACGGTCGGCTGTACCCCGGGGGGATTCCGGAATCTCTTCCAGGCAAACCTATCCTCGCGGGGCCTCCTAAAGGTGTTATACCTCCCGGGTGGTCCCCTTCCCTCCCCTCCCGGGGGGCAGTGGCCTCCACACGGAGTCCTGGGTCCTGAAGGCAAGCGCTTGCCTCACATGTCCAGGTGCACGGGCCGTGAAGAAGGGCAGAGCGGGAGCAGGTGGAGTGACCTTTCTCGGCATTTGCATGGAGCGTGAGATTGGCGCGGGGACGCGGACTGTGCCATGGGCAGGACACGAGGTAACAGCCAGCACTGAGCCTCTGTGTGAGGTCATTACTAGCAGGTGACCCTCTCCGTGCTGTGTGCTTGTGTAGCCACCGTGTCCTCAGCTGGAACTTGGCAAACATCACCTTCAAGTGTGTGGGCAAGGTAAGCTTTCAGGGGAAATGAGAATTTGGCAGTAATGTGGCCGGGTGGGAATTTAATAGGGTGTCCCCAGTGGGGCCCCTGCTGTGCCTTCTTCAGGCCAGCAAGCCCCCTCCAGTCCTGTTTCCCTCCACCCTGTCCTCATTTCCTTCGATGCCTGGGTTCAGAAACCAGTCTCTCTGGAGACTGAAAACCTGGAGGTGTGCCGCCAGCCTGGGGCCGCGGTAAGGGCTTTTCTTTGGGAGAGGGTGACTGTGGTTCTCTCAGAGAACTGGACAAGCTACATGCTGCTCACGATCTCACTCTACAGGCAGGAAGTTCGTTATCCCTGTGACCCCCATGCCAGGGAAACGGGTTCATATGCTCCCTGTTTTGTCTGCCCAGCATCCCTGACTCTTGGGAACTCCCACATCCTTCCACGTGACCCCAGTGGGGCTGTCAGTTGAGGGACTGACACAGGTAGGTCTAAGCGCCTGTTGTCCCGTGTGCAGTGTGACTGGGCCAATGCCGAGGGCAGGACCAAGCAGGCCCAGCATCCTTGTCCCAAGAGGTGGATGTTGAGGCCCAGAGAGTTTAAGTGACCAGCCTTAGGGCATAGAGCTAGACCAGAAGCAAGGAGGCCCCCAAGGCTGTGGCATTTACAGGGGAAAAGCCAGAGACTGAACCCTGGGCCCACAAGCAATGATGGGGTTCTGACTCTGACCTAAGGGCCTTGGAAGTGGGAGATGCGAGCGGGACCCCAAACACAACTGGAACCTTCAGTGAGAGACAGAGGCAGCCTGACAGCTCCCATGGGCCGAGGAGGGTTTGGGTTGCATGGGGGTTGCTGGTGCAGAGTCACTGCCTGGGGAGGCCGCTGAGGTCACTGGCTGGGACCCCCGTCCCTGCACAGGGAGAAGGGCCCACGGGAGGGGACTCCATGGGAGAGGAGTGGCCAGCCCTTCCCTGTCCTGCCTCTCCCCTCCCCTTCCCTGCCGGGTCTTGTGTGAGGAGATGGCTGCGGAGTATGGCCTCAGCAGGACCACTGGGCCACCGCCAGGATGTCCTGGCTGGGTGGAGATGGGCGTGGGAGCATGTGTGGAAGAGGGTGTGTGAGCGTGTGCAGTGTGTGAGTACATGTGCACACGTGTGTGAGTTGTGTGTGAGTGTGTGTCCTTCAGGACTGGGCATGCAGAGGCTTGGACACGGCGGGGCTGCAGGGAGATCCTGGAGGGGTCACGGGGGACAGGACAGAGAAGGAAACTGAGGCAGGCTCAGGCAAGTGCCCATGTTAGGATCTCACTGATGGTGGCATGGGAGGGGCAGGGACAGGGCTCTGGATGGAGAAGACTGCCCAGCTGTCTCCCTGTGGGTGTGGGTGCCACCAGCCACCCAGGCAACACCACGGGGACAGGAGCCGCCTGGGGGCCGGGGCGGTGGGAGGTGCTAAGAATCTCCCCACTGGGCGGCTCCTGTGGTGGAGGTCTTGGCACACGCCTGCCTGGAATTTAAACCTGGGAGGAGATCAAAGAGACAGCCCGCATGCCGCAGCCCTCCAGCCGGAGCTGCTCTAAACCCCGACCACAGTGAAGGGAGCCGGTGGGATTTCTGCCCAAGGAACGTTCCCCAGCACCAACCATAGGGCCCGCTCTGCCTCCCTGGACAGTCCTGTTCAGCCCTCCCCACGGGACCCCTCCTCCCGCCTGGACCTGGGCTGGGCACTGCTCAGGGAGGCGGCGGCGGTGGGGAGGACAGTGGACCCAGGGGGGTCTGGGTGAGGCTGCTGTGACGGGCCCATGGCCCTACAGGCCAGCCCCCCCGCCCAAAGTTTGGGGCTTTGAGACGTCGGACAGCTTGGCCGGGTGGGTGCTTTGTCCAGCCCGCTCCTCCCATAGACCAGGAGGCGGGTAGCCTGGTAGTGGGGTGTGCCAGCCTCTCCTCCCGCCCTGAGGCTCTCTCAGTTCTCCCTAAGTTCTCCCCCTCCCCGGCCTCCTGCCTCCAACCTGATCCTCTCACCCATGGCCATGCAACTATGAGAGGAGGAGTTGCCTAGCCAATATTCCCTTCCCATCCTACATCAGCCAGAACCCTGATTTGGTGTCAGGTAGCACTCTGTCCTGATAAAGGACAGATACCAGGCACACTTGCAGTTTGGGTGGCCATGAGACCCAGTGCTGTCCTTGAAATCTGAGTGCATTTCTGGGACCTACTTAGACTTTGCCTTCTTGCCTGGAATGGTGATGTGGTGCCTGGTGTTCTGGCAACCAGTTTGTGAATATAAGGAAGGAAACTACGTGCTGAGGATCTTAAAGCAAGAAGATAAGAAAAAAGCCTGGGTCCCTGAACAAATTCTGAAACTTTTCAATGAGCTCTGGATTGTTGCTATCTAGCCTGCTTGTTGAAAGGGTGGTGGGAGAGTCTTCTAGAACCTTCCAGCAGAGGGAATTGCCATGAAGAGGAATGGCAATCAGAACATAGCTGGAGGGTCCGAGGGCTGGGACGCATTCTCTTATTCTTTCTGGTTCTTTGTCTGAGTCTTTCTGCTCTGTTCCCTCTGACCCTTGTTCTCCTTGATGGAACCCTGTCTCTGTGCCAACTGCTCCCTCCTCTCCTTCCCTGCACTGCCAGCCTTGCATGGAGCCTGTGCTCTTGGCCCTGGGACCTATCCTTCCTGGTCTGGTCTGGCCCATGAGACCTTCTGGTCCCTTGTGTAGCCCTCGCACTTCTTTCCAAAGTCTGTATTGAGACCTGGCCTCATTCCCCAAGTGTTCACAATGGATGGCTTCCACCACATTTCTTGGTGTGCAAATGACACGTCTTGGTGTCCCAGGCTTGGCTTCCCAGGAAGCCAACTCCAAGGTGAAGTGTAGCATGCTGGGGGTAGGGGATGGGTTTAGGGAGGACCCTTGGGACCCAGCTCCTGAGAAAGGAGGGGAAGGAAGCAGATTCAGCTGAGGAAGGCATCCAGCTGAGATGCAGGTCCAAGGCCAGGCCTGCTCGGCCCTCTGGAGAGCTCTGGAGCCAAAAGACCCTTCAGGTTGTGAAACAGGTCAAAATGATCAGGTCCTTCTACCCCGGGCTGGATCACATTTCAGATGCCGCTCCCCCTGGAAGGGTGTGGCCCGGGCACAGATCCTCCCCGCAGAGGCCATCCCTGAAGGGGGTGCGGATTGAAGGCCACCCACCCCTTTCCTTGTTGGTGTGTCTGGGAGGTGCATCTCCATTCCATCTCGTCAGTCAGCTCTCCAGGCGTGGCTCTTGGAACCCCACCCTCTGATGGGAGCAGAAGGTTCACACATTCCCCAAGTGCGCATCCAGGGGTGGCTTCTCCTCCCGGTTAGGGTCCCAAGGGCCTGGGGTTGTCCAGCGGGAGCAGTGGCCAGCGCAGTGGAGGCCCGTTTGGGGGCCCTGAGCGTGGAAGATGAGGTAGGCTTCCGTGCACCCCCATGAAGGCCTGGTTGCAGCGGACTTCGGTGCCCAGAGGCAGGACGCCATAAGGGTACGCTGCCAGAAATGGGAACTTGGGAGAATGGGAAAGAGAGCCAGGGTGATGTTTAGCGCGGACTTGTGGTAGGTGGGAGAACTGGTGACCCGTGTCGTGCTGCAGCGAGACGTTCTAACTATCCTCTGCTTGGTTTTGGGATGGTGACTGGGGTTGGGCGGTGAGGGGCATGGAGGAAATATTTCGAATACTGGCATATGCGGGTTCCTCATGGAGAAGTTCCACAGGAGACGGCTGAGCTAAGGCTGGACCCAGCCTGTCTCCGAGGACACAGAGCAAGAGGCCTGGCTGGCATTGCCTGTGACCAAGCACTCTGCCCCCCGGGGCTCTCCAGAGCCGAGGGAGCCTGGGTTTTTCAACCCTAGCCCAACACAGAGGTGAGCAGCTCACTGGGCTGCTGCCCCCTCCTTGTCGAGGGCCCTTGAGAGAACCCCACCAGTCACAGCCCAGTTGAGGAGGGAGATATTTCTCTCTGGAACATGGTGTCTTGAATTTTCCCAGGACAAAGGGGACCCGGCCCCGGGGCCAGGGCAGTGGGTGTGGCCCAGGGCAGGAGGTGCTCGGAATCTTTGGGCTTCAAGTCACAGTGTAGACAAGACTGCTGGAGGTGGAGGCAGGCGCATAGACTGGACTGGAGCTTTCTAGATTCTTGAGGGAATTAGATTTCGAAGAAGCTCTGGACCTGTCTGTTCAACCCCCAAGGCCATCCCCAACTCTCCAGGTGGACCCCGCAGGTTTTTTATCAGGCTTGATCCCTGAAAGGCCAGTGGGGCCTGAAGCGTCCTCGGGTTCAGGCAGGCCACCCGTGGGCAGTGCCCAGTGTGTGTGCATGTGGCTGGCACTCCGTGGCACCACTCTCCTTCCTTCTGGTGGCGCCCCTCAGAGCAGAACCCTTCCCAGGCCCCCCCTTCCCCATTTCCCTCTCCGCTCCCACCCAGCTGGCTCACCCCCGCCCTGGCCTCCTTCCCTGCAGGCGGCCGCACGCCTTCCTTCTGAGCGCATCGCTTCTCCTGAATGCCGAGACCCGGTGAACAATGTTGCCAAAAACGCAAGCTGGAAACCAGAGCTGTATTTTTTTTTTTTTCCAAGAGGGAAGAGGATTTAAAAATCTTGGCCTGAGAGTTTTGTTCAAGGAGAAAGTGAATAGCAAGTCTTCCTTTGGAATGTAGCCCCCTCCATCTCCGCTGTTTGAGAAGAGTTTAAAAGGGAGGTTTGTGGGAGGCGTGAAGGGACTCTGCTTTGACCTGCAGCTTTGCCCTCGCCTCTGAGCCTTAGCTCATGCTTTCCCCCTTGCAGGGAAAGACCTTTCCCTGCTCTAAATGCTCCTGGCTCTTACTCACCCTTCAATGCATGGTGTCAATGCCTCCTCCTCCACGAAGCCTCCCTGATCACTTCAGCTTCTCTCTGTCCTCAGTGCTCACTGGTGAGGGGCAAGTGAGTGAGCTTAGACAGTGCTGGGTTTAATCCAGGCCCTGCCAGCCTGCTTTTGCTGCAGCCACCTGCGGAAGCAGAAGCTTCTGGCCTGCCTCCCTGTCCGGGGTCTAAGATCTACCCTGTGTTTCCAAGATCCTGACAAAGTGTGACCTTTCTCCCCGCTTCCACAGAGCGGTAAGATTTCTTCAGCTTATTTTATTACACACAGACAGAGATTGTCATCTGGAAAAGGCTTTATTTGAATTAACGTAGCATAAAAAGATGGAATGTCACTTATTAGCCTTGGCAGCCATGAGACAAGATAGCTTTAAAGCTAGTGACCCAGTTGCTGGGTTTCAAGAACTACAGGAACATTTTGTTGGTTTGTTTAGGGGTCTCCCCCTTCCTGGAGCAGTGTGGGTGATCCTGGGGGGATCACACCGGTGTGCTAACTCCTAATGCTTGGGGTGTCAGGATGCAGTGAAACAGCCCGGGTTTGGTATCCTTTGAATTCCTGCTGTGCTCCTGACCACCTGGGGGCTGGAGCAGTCCCTTCCCTGATTCGTGCCCCAGGACTCATCTAGAAAAGAGAGCACTCGCTCCCTCGGACGGGCGCTGTGGGTACCGGCTGAGATGGGGCGGGCCCTGGCTGGCCCATGGTAGAAGCTTGGAGGATGCAAGGTCTCCCTCTGGGACCCCGAACTACCACATCCAGGCAAACGCCCTGAAGTGACAATTTTGCTAGATAACTCTTTTGGTCAAAGTCTTGTGATGTTAATTATTTTTTATTTTTTTAAGTAGGCTCTGTGACAAATGTGGAGCCCAACACGGGGCTTGAACTCATGACCCGGAGATCAAGACCTGGCTGAGATTAAGAGGCAGATGCTCAGCTGACTGAACCACCCAGGTGCCCCCAAATCTTGTGACTTTAAAAATACTGTCAACAGGGGCACCTGGGTGGCTCAGTGGATTGAGGCCTCTGCCTTCCGCTCGGGTCACGATCTCAGGGTCCTGGGATTGAGCCCCATATCGGGCTCTCTGCTCAATGGGGAGCCTGCTTCCCCCTTTCTCTCTGTCTGCCTTTCTGCCTACTTGTGCTCTCTCTCTCTGTCAAATAAATAAAAATTAAAAAAAAAATACTGTCAACATTCTTCTGCTTGGCATTCAAGTCCCTCTGGGATCTGAGCCCCTCCATGCTCCTGCCCTATGACCTCCGGATCTGACCCCGCTGTGCTCCTGCCCTGTGACCTCCCGATCTGACCCCGCCGTGCTCCTACCCTGTGACCTCCCGATCTGAGCTCCGCCATGCTTCTGCTCTGTGACCTCCAGATCTGACCCCACTATGCTCCTACACTGTCACCTCCGGATCTGAGCCTACCATGTTCCTGTGCTGTGACCTCCTGAGCCCTGCTGGGACCTTGGTGTTCCCACCCATGAGGGGTGGTTATGTCTTGGAGCCCCAGCCCCTGCTCTACCTTCTCTCTCATCTCTGATTCTAAACATTCCCTCATTCCTGTTTTAGCACCATTACTCATTGTCAGGCAGGCCTGAGTTCAGGCTCTCCTCTCTTATCAGGAGAGGAGTCTAATGCAAGAAACTGAAACAAACTCTGGCTGTTTTTGTTTTATTTTAAATTTTATTCATTTATTTGAGAGAGAAAGAGTGAGTGAGCACGAGGTGGGAGAAGGGCAGAGGGAGAAGCAGGCTCCCCGCTGAGCGGGGAGCCAAACTTGGGGCTCCATCCCAGGACCCTGTGATCATGACCTGAGCAGAAGGCAGACGCCTAACTCGCTGAGCCCCCCAGACGCCCCTCAACTCTGGCTGATTATAGCAGAAAATAAGTTTGCTCAAAAGACTGAGCTGCCACGGACTTGCTGGAGAGCTAGCTGGGAGGCAGTCAGGTCACATTTGGCTGAAAAGCAACAGCAAATACAACTCAGAATGACTAAGTAAGGAAACTCACAGTTCCCTGGAATGAGCTTCAGACCGAGGGCAGGGCAGCCCTGACGGTGGTTCATTCAGGGGCTCTGTGACCGAAGCCCAGGGACGGGGCTTTCCATCTCGCTGCTCTGTCCGGCCTGCTGGTGGGCGCAGGGTGGCTGGCGCGCTGTATGCAGACGCAGAGCAGAGCCCGTCAGTCCTGGGAGTCAGGGTGAGGGTGAGGGGTGAGAGCGGGGAGAGGTGAGGTGTGAAGGCCAGGAGTCAGGGTGAGGGGTGAGGGCCGGGACTCATCAGTTCTGGCGTTTAGAGCAGGGGCCGGCCCCCCCCCCCCCCCACCGCCTGGCAGCTCTCTTCTCATTGGTCAGGTGGGCCTCACATGCTTGCACACTGACAAATCACCGGCGGGATGTGGGCCAATCAGAAGGCTTGTGTGTAGCAGGTGCGATTGCGGAAGGGTGCCGCTCCCTGGGCCAGGTCTGGGGAGACCTGGGGCAGGTGGGCGACGGTGGGTCCCCCGGCCCCGGCCGAGCGTCCTAGCGGCTCCTGGATCTCAGATGTCACCTCAGGGGCCCTTGGCCGGGGAGTGGGGGAGCTCGTGCGCTGGCCAGATGGGCCTCGCGGCTCCGCGCCGAGTGGGTGACCTCAGCAGCATGCTATGCGGAGACAAGGTATGTTTAAAGGACCATCAAGGGCTGGAGCGTGTTTACTTCTTACACATCTAAAGACAAAAGATGGACCTTCCAGCAGTGCCTGCGAGTCTCTCTGCGAGGGAAAGCCAGGCAGTGCAGCAGCCACGGGATCGGGTGGGACAGACCCTCCCTGCCGGGCTCCCATTTACGTGCTGCGAAATGGAGCGGAGGGCGCCCAGCTTGGGGTGGGTGTGAGGAGCCAGGGAGGCTGAGTGTGTCCCCCTGGCCAGGGTCAGACTCTCCGAGTCCCCTCTGGTTTGGCTCCACTGGGCTCCCACCTCCAGACCCGTGAGGGGTGATTACTCCTGCTTGCCGCCTCTCCCCCAGGTGACACACCCTCCAGCCAGGCAGGAACCCTCTGGGGAAGGGCCTTGCTCCCCTGGACAAACCCTTCCCCATCCTTTGAGACTCAACTGAAAGGTCATATTCTCTGAGAGAGACTTGTGAGGACGGGGCTTGGGACGGGGCTTGTGATGGGAGGGTCTGGTCTGGCTTTGGGTTTCCAGGGATGTCTTTGGCTGCTGAGTTGAGGACAGACTGTCAGGGGCAGTGAGGAGGTGAGGATAAGATCAAGTCTTGGCCCCGGACTCATGGCTTTGCAGTTGCCAGGCCCCACATCCCTCTCCAGCATCACCTCTTGCCCTCAGCATCTGCACACACTGAGTGTGGATAGAAAGTGCCAGGAACGGGTCACAGTGACCGTGCCTTTGGTGTCCCAGCGAGGGGAGAGCCTTCCATGAGCCGATGCCAGGCCCAGAGGGGCCACGGGAGACAGAGAACGTACGAAGGAGGGAATGACTGAGTGTCGTGCTTGGGCGGACGGTGTCACCGGTGGCAGAGTGTGGCAGAGTTAACAGGAAAGGGGCCGCCTCCCGGTACTGCTCCGCCCCCTGCAGCAGCACTGACGGGCCTGGGGCATGATGCCAGGAGAGATTAACCAGACAGAGAAAAGACAAGCCCTGCACAGTGTCACTTGTACGAGGAATCAGAAACCAAGTCAAACTCCTGGAAACAGCGGGAAGGTGGTTGGGTGGGCTGGGGGCAGCGGAGAAGGGGGAGGTGGGTCTGAGGGCACGAGCTCTGTGCTGTAACATGAGTAAGGCCTGAAGGGCTCACGTGAAAACTATGATTGGAGCAGATGACTCCATACTGGGACACCGTGTTGTGGGACTGACCTTTGCTGAGAGTGGGACTTTGGGGCTCTTGCACACACACACACACACACACACACACACACACACACAAGGTGAGATCATGGATGTATTAGCTGGTCTGACTGGGGAGACGCGGGGGACAGGGGCTGGGGGGAGGCATTTTTCACATCTCACCAGGGCGCATGCTTTAAATAGCTTACATGTTGTCCGTTCTTTCTCAACAAACCTGAACAAACCCCCACATTAAGGGGTGGTTCCTGGGGGAACGCTGGTGAGTAAACCCCCGGGGGGGGGTTGGACCCACCTGTTTGGGGCAAAGCCCCCTGAACCCCGGCTGGAGGCGCTGGGCCGCTTGCAGAGAGCCGCCTGGCTGCTCCGCACTCCTTGACAGGTTCTGGGAGACAGGCCGCCGGCCATCTGAATCACCATGGGGCCTGATTTGAAATTCAGATCCTGGCTAAACAGAACATTAATATGAATTTCATATTCTGTTCTTCTCACAGGCCCAGCTGTGTGTGTGTTGGGCCCGCCCGGGGCGCTGCAGGCCTCGGGGCACAGGACCCCCCCAGCTGCCTCCTCGCCCCGCCGTGACCCTGCCTGAGCCCCAGAGCCAAGGGCGCTGGGGGAGAACGGCTGGTCTCTCTGGATGTTTCTCTTGCAGGGAAACAAAAAGAAGGAATAGAGAAGCGACTGGGGTCAACCTCCACCGGCAAAGGTAAAATGGGGACCTCTGGGATTGGAGGGTCCCAGGTGGTGTTAGCAATACTCTTGGCATTTCAAGGCTGCCTGGAGACCTGGCTTTGAACTTGGGTGGGGGCTCTGGGGAACAACGAAGAAGTGGCACAGGCCGCGCTGGCAACAGAGCTGGGCAGTGCAGTAGGCCTGGGGGCTGCCTGTCCTCATGAGGTCCTCTTGGACGCCCCCCACCATCTCAGGGTTGGCCTGTCTTCCACCATCACTGCAGAACCTGGGTGTTCTGGAGTGATGTGTGGTGTGGCCCAGCTCTGCGGTCCCTGGGCTGCTCCTTCCTATAGTGGGCCAAGCTGTGCCCAGGATTCCACCCCCAGCCTCATCCTCCCCGCTTCCCACCCAACCCCCCACAGACAACCAGCCACTCCCAAACTCAGTAACCTCCCATGACTCCCTGGTGCCAGAGAGGCATTAAGGCCTGGGCTTGGTGAGGGTGAGAGGGGGGTGTCAAATCCTGGCTCAATCAGGACAGTAGCCTGGGGGTCTTAGATGAGTTTCTTAGCCTCTTGTGCCTCAGTTTCTCCCTCTGTACCGGGGGGTAAGATCACTCACATCCCAGGGTTGTTGGAGGCTCAGGTGCATGTGTGGGAAGCACCAGGACCCTGCTGGGCCTCACCTGGGGTCTGCCCACCTCCCCAGCGTCCATGCATGGCCCACCTCCTCGCACTCTGCATGGAGCCAAGGACCTCTGGCCCTGCTCTTCCCCTGCACTCAGCTCCGCCTGGCCTTCCCACCTGCTGTTCCTCTGCCCGCTTTCTCCGGGTTCCCCTCAGCCAGATGCAGCCTTCCAGCATCTGTCCCAGGAAGTGTCCCATCCGTGTCTGTCTGGCTGTGGGCTCCCTTGGGGCTGGGCTGGCCCATCTCTTCTTTACTGTCTCTGCCCCTAGCCCGGCCCTCCGCTGCTCGGTGAATCTCTGGACTTGTGCCTCTGAGCTTGGCTCAGCCCTGCTGACCTTCAGGGGGTACCCACCAAGGGTGGGGTGTCTCTGAGCCTCCTGGAAGCCCACTGGCATTCCCGGTGCCACCCACCCCCAGCCAGGGAATTTGGGCTGGGGACCCATGGCTAAGACTTTCCATGCTGGCCTTGCTTTCTGGGCCCAGTGGCAGAAGGTGGGGCGTCCTCTTGGGGTCCACATGTGACTCTGGGCTCCGTCCTGGGCTCTGTGGTGCAAACTGCAGCCTTTCCCAGAGCTGACGGCCTGTGGTTACCATCATCACCATTGTTAGGCCCCATCGGTGCACGTGAGGA